CATGATTCCTATTATTGGGGAATGATTTTTAGAAACAAAGATCTAGATGCCAGGTGCACTCATTGCTACTGTTACTCTCCTTGAAAAAGCAAAAACAAAAAAAGCCTTACTCACATTTCCAAGCAAACAGTAACACTTTCTTATGTGTTCTTAAAATCTTATTTGGCATTAATCTAAATTCCATTCTAGCACAATGAAAATAGAAAGAAAAAGTTAAAATTCCAAGCAAACTGAAAATGACAATCATGCTCAGCGGAAGACTTTTGTAAGTAGAAAAGAGATAGTGCTTAATTATAACAAATAAAAGTTGGCTTCAGATGCAAAAATGTAGATGTAGCCACTTATAGATTTGGGGCTACTTCAGGAATTAAAAGTTAAATAGAGATGAAATAGACACTTGAGAAATGTGTCAGGGTTGGATGTTCCCAAAGACAAAAATAAGTTATTGTCAGACAGCTCTTGGGAGACATTATAGGGACCAGAAACCCTTATTTATTTTAACTTTATGCTCTAAATTACCATCGATGGATTGACCTTGACTATTTGACTGTCGTTCATGATTTAAGTTCTTAATTACCATAATGGTAAATAAAATGTGAAGCCTAAAACAAAAAATAAGTTTAGCTGTAGCAATGCTTCAAACCAGGTAACAATTCTGTACTTCGTTAGTGGCTCAGGGTCTAGCATCTGTAACTAAACAAGCAATAGGGTAGAGAGATTATTTTATTTTGAAATATTCTGGCAGGGTTACTTTCATTTTCTTAAATTATACGTTGTGTTCTTAATTGCAACTTTTCCTTCCTGGAAGTGTAACTGTAAATAGTTTTATGCTTTTCATCACCATTGACATTTTCCACCCCTCTGGTCCTTTCCAGCTTAGCGTTTTACTATTAATATAATCTCACTCTTCTCCCTTCCAAATATAATTGAAATGCTGGTCTTTCTGGTCTTTTTCTGACCAACTAGGGGATTGATCCTGGAACTAAGATAAGAAATTTTTATTGAAATTGGTCAAGTCACTTAATATTCTGCATTTTCACTCGTTTGTTGGTAACAAGAAGATAATAACGTCTGCTTCTCTTCTGCCTTAATATGGATGTCGTGAAGATAGATTCAATTTTAGTCATGTAAAGTGGTTTTGAGTTCTGTATCCAGGAGAGTATTTAATAGTGTTTTATAGTGATAGAAATCAGAGACACTTTTTTTCAGTTCTTGTGGCGGCGGGAATGTAGATTTGAACATCAGATAATCAACACCACGATACAGGGTGTTAGGAGAGCTGGAGATCCGGCCAGTGGGACTCTTTGTTCTGGGTTCTTCTCTGCATGTGATGGGTGGTGCTTTGGGGCCCTTTCCGGTGGAGCCCTGTGGAGTTCTGCCTCTGTTCCTTCCGGTCCTGCTGATGCAGCAGCCAGCCGTTCCATGCTGCTCTCAGCAACTTTCCAAGGCCAATGCCTATTTGAAAAAGATATTGCTCATCGTATATTCTTGTTCCCCTCAAGTGAATTTGTCCATGTCTGAATTCTGTACAGCTTGTTAGATGTCATGAGCTCTCTTTGAACTCTCACAGTTCTGCGTCTCTTTACCCTTCTGCCCTGCCCTTGTCGTTTCTGTGTCCCATTTGTTTCTAAGTCACAAAACCTGGAGGACAAGGTTCTTTGTTCTGCTTTTGGTGGTGGTGCCACATCTGAATAGACAACGTGTTGTAGATTGCAGAAATTATGAATGATTCTTCGGACTCTAAAGGCGAGGCAATCTTATGTATGATAAGAAAATCATTCTCAAATTAGTAACTACTGAGGTTGGGTTGGCTTTTTTCTTGTCACTGTCCAGAGCTGCCATCTGCTTGGGCATCTCAACACGTCCTTATTTTTCAAATGTTAGCACTTGACTCCCAGCATGATTAGCTTATATAAGAAATATTACAGAACTGATATGGGAATTTAATCTTCCCCCAACTTATTTGGTGACTCACTACTTCCATCAGAGTTAGAAAATGTCATTCAGCTCTCAGAACTCAGGTGACATTGGTTAGGATGGATTTTTAAGAGTGACATTTTAGATTGCAGTCAAACAGAAGAGGCTTGGACGAGTGACGGTAAAGAGCTGTGTTTGCTTTGCCAGTTGAGACTTGTTGAGCTTTTTCTAGTTAAAACAAAGACTTATTGGTGATTTTAAGGGTATTTTGGAGAGGATGCTGCAGGAATGTTAGAGTGTACATTTTGAGCGTGATTGCTCATTTGGGCTTCATTCTGGCAACCGGTTTGGGGGCAGATTATTTGTCATTCATAGATTACCTGTGATCTTTACCTGGCCTTTATTTAAGCTTTTATTAAGCTGCTAAACTTTATGTGGATGCCAGGGACAGGGCACCATCAAATGCAGCTCAAACTTCTTGTTCCGGAGCCACGTGAAGGCCAGAGAAGCAACGCTGCCCTTTCTGGTGACCCAGAGCACCAGCTGGTGCGCTGTCTCCTCCAAACCAAGCGGCCAAGTGCGTTGTCTGCTTTTGATGTTTTAGGAGACCGCCATAAAATGGAGCACTGAAATGGATCATTTATTGTTTTTCCTTTTTGCGGGGGATGACCTGCTGTTCACGGAGTAATGAGGTTGTAAAGTGGGTTTGTGTTGGCCCCTGACAGCTCCAATCACAGTGCAGTGAGTTGCTGGAGGGTGGGCTGGTTAAGGCAGAAGTTGGGAGTTATTTTTCTCTAGTTTTGAAATGGGCATGTACCTTCTCCTTTAGTTACTTAGATGCAGAAATTAAGTTATTTTACACTTTCATGAGTAAATGGTATTGTAGATATAAAATATATTTGACAAGTTTTATTTCCGTACTAGGATCTACTCACAATACTTCCATCTTAAGTTTATATCCAAAAAAAACCTTTGCTGGTTTGATAATAAACATAGACTAAGTCCGGATTCCGTAGCCTAGTGCTCAAAAACAGTCAGGAATTGTATTTGGCTACAAGTTGTAATAATAATAATGACACAGAGAACAGTACTCTAAATTGCTAGGATGGTGATTTACGGTTGACATTATGACTTCTTGCTCTGCCCTCTTCCCATTCTCAAGACAGCCTCATGATCATAAAGAGGCCACCGTAGTTCAGCCATCACTTCCATGTTCCAGGTAAGAACAGAGGAAGGCTTCATCTCAGCACCCTTTTTATGTGGCATCCAAAAGTTCCACCCAATTACTTCTGCCTTCATACCAGTTAGCTGGAATTTAGTCATTTGGTTGCCTGTATCTGTCAAGGAGCATAGGAAATGTAGTTTTACATGGCTAGCTCATCCCACACTCAAAATAAAAATAAAAATAAATTATTCTATATTGAAGCAGAAGAGAAAGATAGACATTGGTAAGAAGCCATTGGCCTTCTATGATCTGTCTTAGCCTTTCTTTTGATCTCATCTGTTTTAACACATTAACTGCTGCGTGAGTTGTATTTAACTCACACTAGTTTTGAGCCCGGGGCCTCGTGAAGCATATGTAACTCACATGTCCCTTCACCTTGGGAGCTGTAAGAACTATTTTTCAAGTTGCGTATAATTCACACAGAAAACAATAAAAAATAAATTTTTCATTACATTAGAAAGGATTATTTTGTTTTCAAAGTTTTGTTCTGTTTTCATAATAAAACGCTATGGCACCAAGGAAAAAATTTTTTTTCTAGTGTGGCAGTCAGTGTGTTAAGCACTTTATACTGTAGCCCCACAAGAACACTTTGCACTCACTGAGAATCAGCAAGAATACTTCACTCCTATTCTGAAGATCTTTCATCTCCCATCCCAGCTGCTCTTATCTCTAACACATGGTTCAGATCATAGTTTAGATACTGGGACCAGCAGTTGCGTTATTACCTCCCCTCCTTTGTTAATTCATCTCTCTGTCCTAGCCCTTGCCATGGTTTAGTCAATGTATTACAGTTTGACAGTTAATATTTCATATCCTCTGTGACTTTCTCATCCCCTGTGCTTGCCTAGCATAACGCCTTGTTTATAGCAAGTGCAGATTCATATTTATTGAATTCCATTCCAGACTTAATGCCAGCAAGATAATAGGAGAACCTTCTTTTGTGCAACATTTTCCAGAGGGTTTTTATTTTTTTGGTAAGAAGAAAAAAGTTGATCTTTATCAACTCTGTGAGTGACCTATCATGTTTAGTAGCCACTGGCAACCTTGGGGTTGGGGTTCCTTCAGCACAGTCTGTGGGGGTGGGAGCGCAAACAGCCCTTCGTTTTGAAACACTGACTCCCTAAACACGAGGAACATTAACCCTCCTGGCCCCTCGGAATGTGTGCGTATGACATGCCCAAGAGCAGGGGACTATGCTGAGAGCAAACAAAAAAAAGGGAAGAGGCAATAAAAACTTTTGTTCCTATAAAGCACCTGAAAGTACTATAAATGGATGGTCCCTAAGCTGGTCGGGGGTCAAAAGATAATGTGGCCCAGGGGCCTCAGGTTTAATTGTTTTATAAGTGTTCTAAATAATTTTTTTCATGTTTTAAGTGGTATTTTCTAAATGACTTTCTCATGACTTTACAGATATTTTCAAACTCCAGTTAATTAGGGGATTATTACCTGGACTTGCAGTTAATGATTTTGAGATGTTTACTTTTTTTTTTTTTAAATATGGCATTCTGGGCCAGGTGCGGTGGCTCACGCCTGTAATCCTAGCACTCTGGGAGGCCAAGGCAGGAGGATCATTTGAGCTCAGGAGTTTGAGACCAGCCTGAGCAAGAGTGAGACCCCATCTCTACTAAAAAATAGAAAGAAATTAGCTGGACAACTATAAGTATATATATAAAAAAATTAGCCGGGCATGGTGGCACATACCTGTAGTCCCAGCTACTCAGGAGGCTGAGGCAGGAGGATCACTTGAGCCCAGGAGTTTGAGGTTGCTGTGAGCTAGGCTAACGCCACTGCACTCTAGCCTGGGCAACAGAGTGAGACTCTTGTCTCAAAAAATAAAATAAATACTACTGGATACCTCAGTGATATTTGATTATTCAGGTTGTAGTCATAATATAAATGTTAAGATTTATGGAATGTCTTTTTTTTAGATTAAAAATTTTCTTTTAAATTGTATTTCTTGGTTTTGGGGCTGGAAAATTACACAACAGGAGCATGTTTCTGGGACTTGTTTTGAAAACTGTGTGTAAGCTATCTGCCAGGTAGACAGTGGACTGAAGAGTGTTATTGGAAGCAACTCCTAGAAAGTTCATTTCTTTTCACAGACCTGAACAAAGTCTGGGAATGTAATGCCATGCCTAAAATCAGAATTTAAGAATTTCGCGAGTACATTTCTCTACCATTTTTCTTTACACTCACTCTTTTTTACACTCACTCACTCTTCTTTACACTCACTCATTTTTCTTTCTTTCTGCAAGCTTTTTGATCAAACGCACCTGAGCAGCGCCGTCTAGGCATCAGCAGCAGGACAGGTCCAGTTGAGGTGAAAAATAAACCTGAAAGTAAAATTAGCAAATAAGCCCGTGCAGTGCCAGGTGAGGAAAGGTAGAAAACAACAAAAATAACTGGCACATTAGTTTTGCAGGAATGTTAGGTTTCTAAAGGAAATGGTGTCTGAGAATTGCAAGAGAGGGAACCGGGAGCGTGTCCCAGAATGGAGAACAGCCGGGTTTGCGCGGGAAGGGAGAGGCGCCAGGGCTTTTAAGTTCAGGGTCGCTGTGACTTCCTCGCCCTTGGTGTCCAGGCCTGTCTGCTCTGCCCTCAGTAGCTCGGACGCCCGCCCCTTCCCGCCACTAGCAGGGCACGGGCCTCGCGCAGACCCCGCGACTCCTCTGGCCTCGTACCTGCCTCTGCACCGCGGACGCCCGGAGCTAACGTCCCAGAGCACGCATGTCCGCCAGCTAATTCTCTTGACGATGACGAACTCGCAGCGAGGCCCGTTTCCTGCAGATGAAATGCGCAGGCCTCCGTCTGAGATTCAGGGAGCAGAATCTTCCGCCCCTTCCGCCTGCCGCCCGCCGGCGTGGCCTCCCGACTCCGCCCCTTCCGCCTGCCTCCCGCCGGCGTGGCCTCCCGACTCCGCCCCTTCCGCCTGCCGCCCGCTGGCGTGGCCTGCCGACTCCGCCCCTTTCGCCTGCCGACGTGCCCCCCCCGACTCCGCCCCTTCCGTCTGCAGCCCAGCCTCCGCCTGCCTCCGCCGCGCGCTTTTTGTGCAGGTCTTCGTGGTTTGCCTGGCGACGGTTTCTTCACAGATTTCACATGTGCCCTCCCATTTTGCTCGTGAGGCTCCCTTGATCGGAAACGCGGTTGTCCCGTCCCGCATCTAGACCGCAGCGGCCGTGCTGGGCGATGATTTTCCGTCTGTTGTGGCGTCCGGCAGAGCGGATGCGCAAACCCGGCAGGGAGCGAGGTTTCTCAGTCTGGCACCATGACGTCAGGGCTGCACAGTCTGTGCTGGGCGGGGGTGTCTGGCATCGTAGGGTGTTTAGCAGCACCCTCTGCCTCTGCCTGTTGCAGCCAGCAGCACCCCCAACCAACCAGGTGTTTCTAGACATGGCCAATGTCCCGAAGTGGCGAAAGTGTACCCCTTCTTGAGAACCCCTGGTATAGAATAAATTCCAATTAGACAGTGAAAATATTTGAGTGATGATTTGTAGCATTTTGTGGTCTTGAGGGAAGTGGGACTCAGTGGATGAAATAGAGAAATATCAGACTGAGAACGTCCTGTTTGCTATGATAGGGTGTAGAAAGGCCATTCTGGATTGGAGAGCAATTGTGATGAATCTTAGAGTTAGGACAGATCAAGATGACAGAAATACCCTTAAATGAAAGTTCTTAAAAATATCATTTTAGTTTTTGTTTCGTTCTGAATCATCTCATACCTAGAAATAACATTTCTAACAAAATAAATATTGTTTAATGGGAAATGTATCTGGATTGCATACATACCCAGTATTTTTGGGTGAAAAAATACTTTTTTAAGTGTTTCACAGAATAAGTTTGAAATTATTGGTGCAAGTTGTTTTAAATTTATAACTATACACAAATATCTGTTAATGCATAATTTTACCTACTTTTTCTTTTTTTGGACTATTTGATTATTATCCTTAAGTTAAAAAAATTTTCAGCTCTAAGTGATACATACATATATGCACACGCACATATGTAATGTGTATGTGTGTATAGTGCAGAAGTGACTATAAGAAACATTGATTTTGTGTATCTCTGCTACGTTGTTGTAAATTCCAATTGTTTTCCTCTTACTATCATGCTAGTACACGACACCAATGCTGGGGGGCTGGTGTTCTGCGACCTAGACATAATGCTGACGTCCTTGTTTTGCAGCTATATGCCACCCGCCATGCAAGCACGGTGAATGCATCGGGCCGAACAAGTGCAAATGTCATCCTGGATATGTTGGAAAAACCTGCAGTCAAGGTAGGAAGACGGTTGGACATAAATACACAGTCGCAAGCCACCTCTATTCCTGCCAACTTAAAAGTATTTAATTCTCATCCCAAACCACTTTCCATAGATATTTTCCCTAAAATATGTGAGCTACCAATTTGTTGTTAGATAAAAATATAGTAATAGTGAATGTTGTGAAATTTAACACAGGATAATTAAACAGGTTTTATCCCCTTATTCTCTGAGACTGCTTAGATTGGATTTCCAGGAAGAGCATCATCAGCTGTGTAGAAGCCTCCAGTTTTCTGTTCTTCCACTAGCTAGTTAGGAAGCCCTGGGCGAGTTCCTAACCCACTCAGACCCCGGTCACCTCTCCCCTTTCATGCCAGGAGTCAGACAGGGGGGTTGACTTGAAATTTGGAGATTCCTTCCAACTCTGAGCCCTTTGATTCTGTGACTGAATCTCCCTTCAACTGCTGACCCGTTTGGAATGTTTCTCTGAGAAATAAAAGAGTCAATTAATGTAGTAAGTGATTTAAAAAAAAATCAGCATCCATTTATAAAAGCAAACATTGGCTGGGCGCAGTGGCTCACGCCTGTAATCCTAGCACTCTGGGAGGCCTAGGCAGGCAGATTGCTCAAGGTCCGGAGTTTGAAACCAGCCTGAGCAAGAGTGAGACCCCGTCACTACTAAAAATAGAAAGAAATTAATTGGCCAACTAATATATATATATATATATATATATATGTAAAATTAGCTGGGCATGGTGGTGCATGCCTGTAGTCCCAGCTAATTGGGAGGCTGAGGCAGGAGGATTGCTTGAGCCCAGGAGTTTGAGGTTGCTGTGAACTAGGCTGATGCCACAGCACTCACTCTAGCCTGGGCAACAAAGCAAGACTCTGTCTCAAAAAAAAAAAAAACAGCAAACATTTATCCAACATTCATAGTGTTCCAGGTATTTTACCTATATTATCCATTTTCATCCTTATAACACTAGGAAGTAGAGTGTTATTTATTATAGTTAATGTATAAATAACATTAATTATTATTCCATTTTTCACTTAGACTGAAACTCAGGGATATTAAGTGTCTTGCCCAAGTTCACAGAATTAGTTGGTAAAAGAAGCTAGTATGTCCACTTAGAGCTATTGTCTATATAATCTGTATTCTTTCTGCCATATTCGTTTTAAATGAAGAAAATATAATTGGAAGTGTGATCCTCTGACTCATGCTAACAAAGTCAGACAAGGCTTGTCTTTTTAATTAATTTCAGCCACCAATTTCTGCCATTAGGAGTTTAAAAGCTAGAAATAAAGAAAAGTTAGATTTTACTAAAAAGATGAGTCAGTTTATGTTTATTTCTTAAATTATACTCCCTACCATTTTTGTAATGTGAAATTCATTAGTTCATATCGTATTGATATTTAAACCAATAAACCTAAAATACATAATAATCCATTATGTTTGGGCCATTAGTGCCCTTCTTAACTGCCGAGTGAATGTAAGCATATTAGCAGGTTTTTATTAAAGTTGATTTAGTGTCTTGAATGCACTATTATGGTAGGATATGAGAATTTCTTCTTTAGTCTGAGATCAGTATCAAATCTACAAGATTCAACAAGAACTATAATAATTAGCACTCTGAATTAATGTGGTTCTTATTTTCTGAAACTATCTTTCCTTTATGAAAATCAAAGCAGCCAAGTGTTTAAAAATTGGTATAATTCTTGAAAAGTAAAATATGTCCATGTAGTATCTTCTTTAAACAGAGAGAAGACATTGAGAGAATAAGATTATGTTATCAGGAGTGTATCTCGTTGTAGAACCGAATATTTTGGGAATATTGGCCGTCAGACGGCAGAGCGCCCTCCCCGGGAGGAGGTCTGCGTGCTCTTCCCGGGCGGAAAGGCAGCCTCCCGTCTGCTTCCTAGATGTCCTTCATGGACCCAGCTCATCCATGAAGGGCAGGGTGCCTCCCGGCTGCCCTTAGGGTGACCGTGTTCAAACTAAGATTGCATTAACAGGTTTTATCTCTTCGAAAATGATGGTGACTATAGCTTGACCTACTTTCGTCCTTCATTTTTTAATATAGGAAAGAATTTTAAATGGTTTACATTAGTGCTGAGGTTTTGTGATTTCTCTGCTCCAACCCACATTCTTTCCAGATCTAAACGAGTGCGGCCTGCAGCCGCGGCCCTGCGAGCACCGGTGCATGAACACGCACGGCAGCTACAAGTGCTACTGTCTCAGCGGGTACATGCTCCTGCCCGACGGGTCCTGCTCAGGTATGCCGGCATCGCAGCTGCTCCCTAAGTGCTTGGGCGCGACTGCTGTCGTGCTTGGGTAGCGTGCCTTCGGGAAGTGGCCTCCCCGCCCGCCTAGGCAGATATGTGCACGTGTTTGTGTGCCTGAGGAACCGAAAATCAAAATAAGAGGTCCCCGGTTAGAACATTCTTTTGCCATGGGTGCCAATATAAAAATTGATTAGGAAATGGTGTTTAGAACAAGAGTCACAAAATGAAGTATGTTTCCTAGTGTTTTTCTTAACATCTCTTCTTCTGTCTGGGCATAGAACAATTCCAGGTAGAAAAAAACATTGGTGACTGGGGACTGCTCTTCAGGTCTGTTGAATGACTTAAAATCATTCATAAATCCCTTCTCACTTCTTTTTTGTATTCACAATAACCTAAAGACTTTTAGATGTTTATAATAGTCTAAGAATTTTCTTAAAATAACTATTTCAAATAAAAAAATAAATGAATATTATCAGAAAAGTAGCTTTTATGTGTATCTTTGTAAGAAATGTATTATGTTTCTTAGTATCGTTTGGATGTGTTTATAAGATGGACAATGCCTTAAAATTCTCTATAGGCTGAACGTTAATTGAGGTTGTGCTCATAGGATATCTAAAATTAATGACTCGATTTTTATTTTTACTGGATTATCAGTTGACGAGGTTGTTAAATAAACAACCTTTTTTATTTTGTTAAATAAAAAAAAATTAGCTGATTTAACCTAGCACGTTGCATCAACATAGCGCGGAGCTTTTTGTAACGGGTGAGCACGTGCTGGAAAGCATGTGGCGGTGACGTGGGCTTCCTAATGTGCGCTGCTCCCGGGGAATCCGTCCTCGGAGAAATTCCATGGGCAGTGCAGACAGTTGCTTGGGTGTTGTAGGTAAGAGCAGCACTTAGTGTGAGTGATCTGGGAAAATATCTCAATTCTCCAATTTCCTTGGCCACTGGGAAAATTTCGAGATAATCTGTGTGAAATAAAGTTTTATGTTTGTCTTTTAGTTCTTCAGAAGCGTCAGAGGTCTTCCCCAGAGGGTGACAGCTGGTTCCTGCCTTAATCATCCTTGGGGGGAGGAGGGTCTCTCTGTCCCCGCTCCATTGTCTCACTGTCTCCTGAATGCTGGAGAACTGGGGCCTCTTTGTCTTCGTTGTCCATTCAGTGTCACTGACTTCAGCACAAGTGGGAACATTGTTTCAGGTACAGAGTTTGTTTTCTCCTGCGGGAGTCAGCCTGGCGCTCTCTTCCCAGGTGCCCTGACCTGCTCCATGGCAAACTGTCAGTATGGCTGTGACGTCATCAAGGGACAGACACGGTGTCAGTGTCCCTCTCCCGGCCTGCAGCTGGCCCCCGACGGGAGGACCTGTGTGGGTGAGTTGTGAAACCTAGCGGCTCTGTCAGCAGTAGGGTGCAGGGAGACAATAGGAGGTGATGGGTGGGGACAAAGGCAGGGACTCACACCGCGGGGCTGGCCAGCCTTCAGAGGGTGTCAGGTGCCCCAGAGGAGGTCGTCTCTCTGCGGACGCACCGTGCTCCCCGAGCCGCGAGGGACAGGAGGAAGCACCAGGCAGCGGGAACCCCATGGGCAGAGGCACTGCAGTTCGGGGGGCACACGTGCAGGGAAAGAAGAAGAGCTCAGAGTTTCTAGAATGTGAGAGGCAGGGAGGAGTGGTGAGCATGGGGAGAGCAGGTGGGCAGGGCCAGGCTCGGGTGCTTCTCTGGTAAGGTAGGGAGGCAGTACAGGACCGTGGGAAGAGCCTGGGTTCTGGTTTTATTAACAATCCAGCTCTGCCATACACTAGATATGTGACCTTAGGCAAGAGATTTCCTTTCTTTGAGCTTGGATCACTTCATCTTTAAATGGGAATAAAGCCACACAGAACCATCGCGGGCTTGACTGAGATTCCATACGCAAAGCGCTTAGCCAGTACCTGGCAGACAGCAGGCGCCAAATGATGGGGTATTTGGTGATTCAGAGGTACGTGCTGAGCACTTTCTGTGCTCCAGACACCGTGCCCAGTGCCAGGGTGGACAGGAATGGACAAAGCCAACAAGACTGTGACCCTCACGAAGCTGACGTTCTAATGGGGGAGGCAGAAAAGAAGTGCCCGGTAAAACTGCAGACAGGGCTGGGCGTCACCATGAGTTGCTACGAGAGAAAAAGCCGGAAAAGGTCTATTTTAGAAGATAATGGTCAGAGAAAGCCTTAAGACGTGACCATGAGCGGGGTGAAGAGCCAGCCCAGCGGGCCGGGACGTTGCAGAGGAGGCGAGAGCGCCTGCGTGGGGCGGGAAGGGGAGCGAGGCGGGTGGACAGACGGGCGGCACGGACGGATGGGCAGACGGACGGGCGGGCAGCAGGGGTGGGCGGCAGGGGCGGCTGCCAGGGCTGCGGGCGGCACGGGTGGGCGGCAGGGGCGGCTGCCAGGGCTGCGGGCGGCACGGGTGGGCGGCAGGGGTGGCTGCCAGGGCTGCGGGCGGCACAGGCAGGAGCACCCAGGAGAGGAAACAGACTCGAACACTGTTTCCCCGGCGGGATTCGCCGGGCTTGGTTATCTGGGAGTGGGAGACAGGGTTGTCCAGCGTCACTCACGTTTCCAGCTCAAGCGCCAGGCAGGGGCGCCGCCCGAGCTGCCAGAGCGCGGGAGGACCTGCTCTGAGAGGACGGCTGGCCTGGCACGGGAGGGACCTGCTCTGGGAGGACGGCTGGCCTGGCGTGGGAGGGCCTACTCTGGGAGGACCTGCTCTGGGAGGACGGCTGGCCTGCTCTGGGAGGACCTGCTCTGGGAGGACCTGCTCTGGGAGGACGGCTGGCCTGGCGAGGGAGGACCTGCTCTGGGAGGACGGCTGGCCTGGCGAGGGAGGACCTGCTCTGGGAGGACGGCTGGCCTGGTGAGGGAGGACCTGCTCTGGGAGGACGGCTGGCCTGGCCTGGCAAGGGAGGACCTGCTCTGTGAGGACGGCTGGCCTGGCGAGGGAGGGACCTGCTCTGGGAGGACGGCTGGCCTGGCCCAGGAGGACCTGCTCTGGGAGGACGGCTGGCCTGGCGAGGGAGGACCTGCTCTGGGAGGACGGATGGCCTGGCCTGGCAAGGGAGGACCTGCTCTGGGAGGACGGCTGGCCTGGCGAGGGAGGGACCTGCTTTGGGAGGATGGCTGGCCTGGCGCAGGAGGACCTGCTCTGGGAGGACGGCTGGCCTGGCAAGGGAGGACCTGCTCTGGGAGGATGGCTGGCCTGGCGAGGGAGGACCTGCTCTGGGAGGATGGCTGGCCTGGCGAGGGAGGACCTGCTCTGGGAGGACGGCTGGCCTGGCACAGGAGGACCTGCTCTGGGAGGATGGCTGGCCTGGCGAGGGAGGACCTGCTCTGGGAGGACCTGCTCTGGGAGGACGGCTGGCCTGGCGAGGGAGGGACCTGCTCTGGGAGGACGGCTGGCCTGGCCTGGCAAGGGAGGACCTGCTCTGGGAGGACCTGCTCTGGGAGGACGGCTGGCCTGGCCTGGCGAGGGAGGACCTGCTCTGGGAGGACCTGCTCTGGGAGGACGGCTGGCCTGGCGCGGGCTTTGTGCTGCCCGCGGGGCGCTGGCCGGAGCCGTCTGGGACGAGCAGCTGCTCTGTGCCAGGCGGCAGTTGGCAGGCAGCCGGGTGTCTGAAACCCACTCTGTCCGAACGTGCCTCGCTCCCCTGCCACGCGCTGGCTGTTCCTAGATGTCGACGAGTGTGCCGCGGGAAGGGCCCCGTGCCCCCGGTCCCGGCAGTGCGCCAACACCTTCGGCAGCTACGTCTGCAAGTGCCCGGCAGGCTTCGACCTCCTGTATGTTGGCGGCAAATACCAATGCCGTGGTAAGGAACCCAGCCTTTGCTTTGTGTTGTCTGCTCTTACTGTGTTCTGGAAACATCTCTTAGCTGCCGTGAGGGCTGGGCTGTCGGGGGCAGGGGAGGGTACTGGCACTAACAAACGAGCAGACGTCCAGTTTGACCACGAGTGGGTCTGGATCCACATGGACTTTGTTTCTTCCGTTTACCTAGGGATTTCACACGGACCTTAACATTGACAAAACTTTTTTGAAACATACATGTACATGTATGAAACATGCGTGTACATGATGTATTTTTCATGTCATCACATGTATCCCTAAATAAACCGCTCTTGCCCCATTTCCTGGTGCAGATGCAGACGAATGCTCCCTGGGCCGGCACCAGTGCAGTGCCTTCGCCCGGTGCCACAACGTGCCCGGGTCCTACACGTGCAGATGCAGAGACGGGTACCGGGGTGACGGCCTGAGATGCGTGTGTGAGTGACCCTCGTCTCCCGCTCCAAACCCCAGCAGGAAATGCAGGGCTGACACAAAGGCCACTGCTAGGGGAGAGGAGGAATAAGATTCAGTATCAAAGAAGTATAATTTTCACAACAGCAATATTAGTCTGTGCTTTCCGCAAACAGCACGATCACAAGTGCTCGGGTGTTGAAAACTATGTGCTCGGTAACACTTTTAATCTTAACAGTACTTGACTTTCTTGACGAAAATCTTTCAGTAGCTTCCATTTAGCTAGAAAGAAAGTATAGAGCTCTCCCTGAGAATCTGCTTTTGTTGAAATCAGAAGTAAATATCATTAGCATTAGATATTGATGATGGGATAATCTAAAAATATTCTATATTTATGTTCCTCTGTTTTATGCTTTCTAATTCTGCCATTAAAAAATCATTCTCATATTTGTTTCCTCTACATTCAGAAATGTTTTACTCTTAAGATCTGTATAAGTTAATTTGGAGTAGTAACTATGTTAGTAGATACATATGAAAAATGTACATACCCTTCAAGATGAAAGTTTTACAAACCAAAGTCATAATTTAGCATAAATTTCATGAAACAGTAGACAATTTTTTTAATTTCCTGAGTGAAATATTTACTGAAAACCACAGGGCATAAAATCATGAGGATTAAAATGGGTTTTGAAGGGTCATGTAGCCATTCCCAGTCTGGAGTGTGTCATTCCAGGCAGATTAAATATTGATTGTTTTTGTTGAAGATTATCAAGGAAAAAGATTCCACAGATGATCTTTGCAACCTCTACAATTTTTTTTTTAAATAGCAATTGTATAAATTAGTAAAGGGGGCACAAAAACCAACTATAAAACCATATATAAAACATTTAAACCTTTTTGTAAGTTGAGTTTATATAAAGTGTAGATGAGAAAAGTTTTAGTCTTTAGATAATCCTACACATGATTTTATAATATACATGTGGCATAGGGACATGACATACACTCTATATGTTTCTTATGTTTTAAAAAAACTTAGAATGTCTCTGCATTTTAAAAAATCTCATTGACTGCTATTTCCATTCTCGAAATATCTAAAACTTTTTTGTGTTTCAAATAATATATATTTATCCTACAAACACCAGTATGTTTTTGCATACATCCAAAGGAGAAATATATCTGTTTATGTGAATGTATAAGTGTGTGTGTATATCATATACACACACATATTTGTTATTTGGAAAACAGCATGACCTATACTAGGGAATATTCTAAATGTGAAAAGTTGGTATGAGATGTTTTCGTGTGCCTGTTTTTTAAAGTGTGATGTTTCACTGTTTAGGAAGAGATGGTTACACATTAATTTAGATCTTTGACTTTTTCAGATATCCCAAAAGTTATGATTGACCCTTCAGGTCCAGTTCATGGACTGAAGGGAAACGGCACCATTTTAAAGGGTGACGGAGGACATACTAATTGGATTCCTGGTGCTGGGAGTACAAGGGGGCCATCGAAGACACCACATACTCCTCCTGTTGTTGCCAGCACACCCACCCCAAAGCCAGCAGCGCTGCCCACTCCACCGCCCCCACCGCCCCTGCCCACAGAGCTCAGGCCCGAGGCCCCGGCAGCCACGCCAGGAAGGCCCCGCCCCAGCCTGACGACTCCAGCACCGGCCGCCAGCACGTCTCCACGAGGGGTCACAGTGGACAGCAGGGTCCCGACAGACCCGCAGAAACCCAGAGGAGATGTGTTCAGTAAGTCACATACGTGCCAGCACATGTTTAATAGGCTCTTGATGACGACGTTTCAACCACAGGCTCTGCCTTGCATGAGAATGAAACTCATAAAAAAGAATGAGACACGTGACCCCACTGACAGAGATCATGGAGAGCTGTGTAAAGAGTCGGTCCCACTGGGCGAGCGGAAGGGATGTGCGTAGGATGGAAGGAATGTCACAAAGCAACATGGCAGGTGGCAGCTCTGACCCGGCGGGAATCCCCTCCTGCGGGAATCCCCTCCTGCGGTCGGGTGTGCTCCAGAGCTCTCGGAGATGGGACACTTCCTAGCTCCCACACCCATTTCCTTTCAGTGTGACTGTCTGCTCATGCAGTCAGTGAACATTCCGGGGTGCTTTTGGGGTGTCAGGTAGGCCTCGTGTCAGCCATCGGGTTTACAAAGATAGAACAGAAGAGGTCATGGTCTGGTGGGAAAGACAGTCACCCAGAAGTTAGCTGTGGTGCTGAGTGGTGCTGATTCTAACAATGTCTAACTCAGGACGCTGTGTGAGTAAGAAGGGGTGTCTGGCTGGGCGCGGTGGCTCACGCCTGTAATCCTAGCACTCTGGGACACCGAGGCAGGCAGATTGCTCAAGGTCAGGAGTTTGAAACCAGCCTGAGCAAGAGTGAAACCCCATCTCTACTAAAAAAAAAAAAAAAAATTAGACAACTAAAAATATATAGAAAAAATTAGCCGGGCGTGGTGGCGCGTGCCTGTAGTCCCAGCTACTCAGGAGGCTGAGGCAGGAGGATCGCTTGAGCCCAGGAGTTTGAGGTTGCTGTGAGCTAGGCTGACGCCACAGCACTCTAGCCTGGGCAACAGAGTGAGACTCTGTCTAAAAGAAAAAAAAAGAAGTGGTGTCTGGTGAGCCCGTGGGCGGGGAGGGCTCCCGAGTGGCAAGGGCAAAGGCGGAGAGTGAACAGGGACAGCACAGCGAAGACACGGAAGTAGGAGGCTGCACAGCCCATGGAATAAACCGGAAGTTCACGTCAGGGAGGGACGAGAGAAGCTAACAGCCACCCCTCATGTTGGCTGGCGAGTGTGTCTAGACTGGGGCTAGATTAGGTTCGAGACTCCCAGAGTTTTAGCAGGTGACTGAGTAAAAGGTGGTGTCACCAATGGAGATAGAGGATTTGGGGAGAGAAGCAAGTTTTAAAGAAGGAAATGGTTGTTATTATCACCAGACCAAAATGTGCATTCTTAACAGCTGTCGTCTGTTGCTTGTATTTATCGGTGTGTCCTGTTTTGCTTTGCTTACTCTTTGCTACCCTTGTGTTTGCTCCTTCTTTTCCTTTTCCCATCCCCCCACGACGAAACTAAACTTTCTGCCTTTTGCATTGGATAACTCTGTAATTTTTTACCAGGTGAAAAGAATACTGACATTTGTAATTTTTTGAATAAGGAAGTTAAAGCTGCTTTTTGTATATGACTCTCAATTAAGTTTTTTTCTTCAGAGTTATTGTCCATTTAAAGAGATCAAGATTCTCTAATTCTGATGTAGTTATATGTTCTTATAAAATCAATAGAATGTTTAGGGGAATTAGATGGTACCTCTCAAAATAGTTTATATGTACATAATTGTTTATTTCTCGAAATTCACATTTTTGTATTGTTCTCCTCCTCCCCCCTCTCCTTCTGCTTTCTTTCTCGTCTATTTTTTCCTTCTCTTCATGAGCATACAATGGGATTTTTATTCATGGGTACTTAAGTAAAAATGGCATTTGCATTATTCTGCCGCCTTACAATGTCATAAAAATCTGGCTATTTAATGTCAAAAGGCATTCTAACATAAATCACACCCTTCTAAGTATTCCTTTTAATATTTTTTCTTTTTAAAAAGTTTGTCTTTAGCCGGGCGTGGTGGCTCATGCCTGTAATCCTAGCACTCTGGGAGGCCGAGGTGGGCGGATTGCTCAAGGTCAGGAGTTCAAAATCAGCCTGAGCGAGACCCCATCTCTACTAAAAATATAAAAAGAAATTAATTGACCAACCAAAAATAAATATACAAAAATTAGCCGGGCATGGTGGCGCATGCCTGTAGTCCCAGCTACTGGGGAGGCTGAGGCAGGAGGATCACTTGAGCTCAGGAGATTGAGGTTGCTGTGAGCTAGGCTGACGCCACGGCACTCACTCTAGCCTGGGCAACAAAGTGAGACTCTGTCTCAAAAAAAAAAAAAAAGTTTGTCTTTATTACCATTATTCCTCTCCATATCAACATACATATGAATTAAAAATAGCATTGCAGTTCACCAATAAAATTTAGCAGGATAAAACTGAGGAATATGGAGTTTCAGGAATGCTTGAGAACGTTCAAAGAGAGTGCGACCCGAAAGACCTGCCCGGGAGGGCTGCTCTGACCCTGTGCCGCGGCTGGCGCACGCCCGCACATCGCCGCCTCTGGGCGCTCCTGCCGGGAGCTGGGCTCCACGCCCGCTGCACCTGCAGCAGCGGCTGCCGGTTGAGCTCAGCACACGTGAGAGCATTTTAAATGCTCCCTAACTTGCTGTCTGGTGGTTAGAGGGTGTTCTAAATAAGGAAGGGCTCTTAGTTTTTAATTCAGGACTAGTAATGGTGTCTGTTCTCTGTGAAAGCAGAAAGGAACCTTAGCACTATTTCAGTTCAACAGCATTTATTTCTACACTGAATATTTTCTTCATTCCTGGCATAATAACTTCTTAAGCCATCCTTTTATTCTCCACAGATCTGAGAGTAGAATTTGGCTCCTCTCATTTCATGAATTTGCAGGTGATGTTAATTATGGCCACAATTTGGTAGTCTCCTCCAAATAGCCCCAAACTTAAATTGTGTTTTTCTTTACATCGAAAGATATTTTTTAAAGTTTTGTTTATTTGTTTGTTTTTTTGAGACAGAGTCTTGCTCTGTTGCCCGGACCAGAGTGCCGTGGCGTCAGCCTAGCTCACGGCAACCTCAAACTCCTGGGCTCAAGTGATCCTACTGCCTCAGTCTCCTGAATAGCTAGGACTACAGGCATGCGCCACCATGCCTGGCTATATTTTTTTCCTATGTATTTTTAGTTGGCCAATTAATTTCTTTCTATTTTCTTTAGTAGAGACAGGGTCTCGTTTTTGCTCAGGCTGGTCTTGAACTCCTGACCTTGAGCGATCCTCCTGCCTCAGACTCCCAGAGTGCTAGGATTACAGGTGTGAGCCACCGCATCCCGCCAAAAGTTTTATTTTTAATTGACAAATAATTATATATCTATGGGGTATGAAAGTTGTTTTTCTTAATGGAAGAGGTTGTGAAACAGAGCTTTTCTTTATGTTGTGACTGTATCGTCCCCCTGAGAAAAGACTGTAAAGATATTCTAAAAGAAAATCAAGAAAGAAAAAAAAATTATAATAAGAATATATCTCCCGCCCAGACTTCTCCCCAAACTCTAGACTTGTATATCAACTGACAGTTTAACCTCTGCAGCTGGATGAAAATGGGTATCTCAAACTCAACACATCCAGAGTTGTTCCTCCTCTGTCCCTCAGCTTTTTCCACCCCAAGTAATGGTACTTCCATCACCCGTTGCTAAGGCCAAATACTTCGAAGTCATCCTGAACTACTTTTTCTATACCCACATGCAATCTATAAGGACATCCTGTTAGCCCTACCTTCAAATTATGTCTAAAGTGTGACCACATCTCAACATCTCCAGTGCTACCACCACGACCCAGATTATCTCTCTGCTAAAGCTACAGGTCTAAAATCCTGTATCCAGATGACCTGTGGAATACAGCAGTTTTTTAGATTTTAGAAAAGAAAGAAGGTGCACATGCTGTATATTACACACTGAAGCTGTGAAATGTATCAGTGCTAATGAAGAGAGAAATGCTATCAATTCAGGGATAATATCTCACCACATATATTTCCCAGCTCCTGAAATTAGTTCAAATAATTTTTACTTTATGCTTTTATTTAAAAGTTGACCCATGGCCAGGCGCGGTGGCACTCTGGGAAGCTGAGGCGGGCAGATTGCTCAAGGTCAGGAGTTCGAAACCAGCCTGAGCAAGAGCGAGACCCCGTCTCTACTATAAATAGAAATAAATTAATTGGCCAGCTTATATATATAGAAAAAAATTAGCCGGGCACGGTGGCACATGCCTGTAGTCCCAGCTACTCTGGAGGCTGAGGCAGGAGGATAGCTTGAGCCCAGGAGTTTGAGGTTGCTGTGAGCTAGGCTGACACCATGGCACTCACTCTAGCCTGGGCAACAAAGCGAGACTTTGTTTCAAAAAATAAATAAATAAATAAAAGTTGACCTGTGTGAAGATGCACAAATTTTTAAAGCAAGAAGATTTAAGAAACAATCTCTTAAAACAATGTTTCCTGTAGGTATAAACTAAGAACCATCATCAGTAGAGTTTTTGTTCATTTACTACTTCTGCAAAAGAAAGGAATACAAAGCAGCAAAACATAAACTTCAAGTAATGGGTTGGACATAATAGTTATAAGTAGCCTTTTGTTATTCTGATTTGGGGCTGAAAACCTTGTCTCTAAATCAACATTAATGAGTTATCCAAGTGTAACATCCTTATGAAGTCTCTTTTAAATCATCCCAATTACATCATAGCGTCTCTAACAGTGACTAGAGTCCTTTCCAGTGATCCCTCCCACTGCTGGAACATTCTTCCTTATAATGAACCTAGAGTCACAAAACTACAGTTTTTGCCTTTTGAACACTGTCATGTCCTCAGGAGTGATGGGCACAGTTGGTCCCAGTCTGCAGGTCCCATACTCCATATGCTCAAGGAATATTTTCAGGAAACGACTCAACTGGGTCTCCTTTGTGATCGGTAATATTCGTGTCATTAACCTTTTCTTAGAAATACTGTTTTTCAACCCACTTAATCTTTTTGGCTGGCTCTCTGGACATTCTTTGTTTTCCAAATCTGTCTCAAATTGTGCAGTCCAAAGATGCATAATAGTCAGATCTGACTCAACTCTGATCACAAGGCGAATTTTTCTTACA